AGGAACGCATCAGAAAGCCAACTGAGGAAGGAGATACACATGGTAAACTATTATTCACTAAAGGTGATGGAAAAGAGAAGGTTCAGGAGCAGAAATGTGAGCATTGTGGTTGCTGGAGCTCAAACCGAGAAGACTTTGGACGTGGCCGAGGTAGAGGTCGGGGGTCCGGGAAAGGTCAGGATGGCGGTCGGCTTCAGCGGGATAAGAGTCACATTAAGTGTTTCAAGTGCAATGAGTTAGGACATTTTTTGAACGAATGTCCAAAATGGGATCAAAAGGAAGACATTGCAAATTTGATTGAAGATGATGATGAACCAACATTATTGTGAAGATTGGTGTGAACAAACAACGATTAGGGGGGTGATTGTTAGATTTAATCGTATTGTTTAATTCCTGGTCATAAGTTATTAGTTTAGATTTAAATTTTAAAAATAAAAGGGACAGGGGTAGTTATTTCTGGAGGTTAAAGGTAGTTATTTCTAGAAGTTGTATTAGTTAGTAATAGATATGTTGATTAGTATCAAAAGTTGTGTTGGTTGATGTCTATAAATAATCTAGGAACATAGAATTCCTGAATGGAGTTCACAATAAAAAATCAGATCTGGAGTATATAAACAGAGTATTTTATAAACAGATCTGCATTTGTTTTGTTCTTCCAATTATTTTCCTACAATGATAACCTCTTACCTTACACATAAAGCCTAAGAGCATGTTCTCTTCGACTTATCTCATTACTTTGATATATTAAGGTCTGATACGACTGAAATCTTTCTAGTCTAGTCTCATTTAATTCCAATTAAAGTTAAAGTTGTATATGTTTCTGTTTTGGTGTGGTCTCATCTGAATTTTTCGATCATAATCTGATTCGAATACTAATAATCAATAAGTAATAACTCTCATTCATCAATATCTGAGTTTCATTCATTGCGATTAATTTTTGTAGAAATGAAGCACTTCGAGTTGCTTTCATTGATGAGGTTGAGACATTGATTGAAGGTAAAGTGCACGAAGAATACTTCTCAAAACTTGTGAAGGCTGACATCAATGGGAAAGATATGGTTTGTCCTTTTATTACTATTTTTTGTTATTACTCCGAGTTCTATTACTTGACTAGGTGCACATCTTTGTTGTTTTCTATAAACATATTTAAAAGAGCTTGCATTTCTTCTGTTTTTGACAAATTCAGAAGAACTTGCAAGGTGCGTTACTTTGCCACTCTATGCATGGTTTTTATGTTGTCCACTATTCGACCTTGGAAAGGGGTGACCGGAGTAAGCGATGCTGCATCACGCCGACAGATGCGAGATTTAATGGATAAAATGGTAAATAGAAATTATGAATAAATATTTAATCAATTATTTAAATCCTCTCTTGGAAAAAACATAACAAGTCCTATTTAGGGAATTTGTGGTTTTGTTTTGCTCCTTTCGATTCCCCATGTTTAGTTTCTTTTCATTTTTAATTTTTTAAATTTTCTTATTTATTTAACCTTTTTCGGGTGGGGGTGGGCCACGTGATGGGGATGTTATGTTTGTTTCTGTTTTTTTACTCTGTAGTTAATACAGAGTACATCACACTACATAGACTTGAAATATTCTTCCTTATCTTCCAATTTATCACTTTAGTTTTTACCTTCCTTTTAAGACCTTATCTAAATAATGTTTCTATTTACCCCTAGACTTATGTTTTCTTTTATTTTTATATTTTGATATGAACATCAATAAAAATATTGTTATCATTATTATTAAGATTATGGTTATGATTATTATTATTACCATTATTATTATTATTATTATCATTTTTAATTTCCTATTATTAGTCTTATTCTATTTTAGTCAATATCCCTAAATAAGGATTCATGTTTCCTAGTATGATTATGATAGGTGTCTTTTAAGGTGTTGCCCATTTATACTCACACAATGATTAATTAAATGATGAATGGTTGAAGTCTAATATCTAATAATGAGATTTTAGTCACCACATGCTCTCCCCTCATAGTCACAAACAGGGAAAGATATTCTTCTTCCACATTTGCTAATACATTTGTAACAATTTGGTATTAGAACCATTTTCATTCCTACTCTTTTTATCCCTCTTGCTCCTTTGGTTTTTTTATAACTAGAAAATGTCAACAATAGAAAAGTGGTTGGATAATTTTGTGTTTGATGTTTTTGTAGCGTGAGATGGTGGAGGGTTCTAGCTAGAAAATTCTTGCATCGTATTTAAATATTTTATTTTTCTGATGTATTTTTTTTAAACTAGAATAGCATACAAAGAAGTTGAAAAAAAGTCAGAAAATAGAGTTTCAGAGTTTGTGCATCTTTGTTTCTAAATTATTATTCTGTTGATGAGTATGGTTTACACTGTGAATTTGCCAAGAGATCAGTTCAACATATTGAAAGATGTCGCAACATGAATATCAATATCAATTGCAATATCCACATCCTCTTCCACCATCACCACCCTTGGGTCAAAAGCTTTATCCACAGTCCTACTCTTCTACTGTCGTTACTGCCAGTTATCGATGGCTCTAATGGCACGCACCATATATGCGCCATTGGCCATTGGGCTCATAATCACCACAAATCTGGTTGTGGCAACCAGTGCTCCCATAGCAATGCCATTTTGGCGCCATCCCCATTCGTGCCCCATTTTTTTCTTTTTGCCCAAAGTTTTATTTATCCAATATATTTGGGCCCAATCGAATAAAACCCTTTATTGAGATTGACGATACTCAATTAGTCAATCATCTCTCACTCTCTCTAGTCGTTCATCTTCTTCACACAGAACGTCGCCATCACAACTTTTCTTCTTCTTTGCTAGTTGCGGCTTTAGGAGGGAAGAATGTTGCATGTTGCGCGACTCTGATATGGGATCATTGCAACTCTGCTACATGCCTCTCTCTGCAACCTCAACCTCTGACTTCCTGGACCTCTTGGGAGTGATGATAAGATATTCATATTTTAAATTGCTAGATCAAAGTTTTTATCAACTTAATTTTGAATTAAGTTTTATGTTTGCTTAAGTTATTTTAATACTAGCACCTTCAGGTGTTTTGGAATGATTTTTTTGTCGTGCTTTTATTTTCAACATGACGATTTAAATCAAGTACTCTATTATTTTTTATTCATTTTATGTCTCATACATTTATGAATTTATTAAATTGGTTGTGTGACTGGTGTCCTGTGGTGATGCCATATATGCGTCATGGCCATTGCCATGCGCCATGAAAGCTATTTACCACATAAACATGCAGAAGCTATTACTGTAGTTGTAACTGAGTCGCAAAAGACCACTGTCAATTAACCCACTTTATTTGGCAAGACAAGAATTCATGGTTGGTTATGCACATGCCAGTTGAGGAATAATGGTGTAGTAATTGTCTATTTCGCAACAGGCAAGTCACATCTAGCTCTGCAAAGTTCATCACTTAGAGTGTCACGGTAATTCTCAGGGTTATATCATCAGTTGGTTCTTTCCCGCTTTGTACTCTACTAAACGAGTGCTTATATTTTGATGTCGTTTGTTCGTGGAAAGTGCTGGTGCTGCGTATCTCTCTCTTCACAGCTTGAGGACAAGCTTGATGTTTGGAGGGGTGTAATGATACAGTCATTAATATCATTCTTGTTACTATTGGTGTTGGTGATGATGATGATGATGTTGTTATTATTTTGAGTAGATTATTATTATTATTATTATTATTATTATTATTATTATTATTATTATTATTATTATTATTATTATTATTATTACTATTTTTATTTTTATTTTTATTTTTATTATTAGTCTCCTATTGGTAGTTTTACTCTATTTTAGTAAATATCCCTATATCTGGATTCATGTTTTCTTGTATTATTATGGTAGGTTTCTTCACTTTCTTGTAAGGCTTTGCCTTTTTATACTTAGACAATCCTTAATAGAGTTTTGAATCGGGGACATCAAATATCTATTTATGAGAAGTTAGTCACAGATTGCTCTCCCCTCCTTTTGGGTACGAGCAAAGAAGGATATTCTTCTTCAATGTTTGCGTACGTGTTCTGCAACTAAGTTTTGTTTCAACACCTATTGATGTTTATTCTATTAGCTTAGCAACTATATTTTGAGTTAATACAGGTATTATACTTATTTACTATATATCTACTCAACGCGACTTGCCGACGTGACAACCATGGCTTTCTGAATTCAAAGCCCCTACATGACAACGTTATCTGGAGGAATGGAACAAGGAAAAATCCATAAACAGAAAGATTCCACTAAATCGGAGTAATTCGCCAAATGTAGCCATTTCAGCCATATTTTATGTTCTAATTGCTGTTAGAATCATTACCGGAAATATATTCTGTGAAATTGCCTGGAAATCCAAAGCTTGGTGAAGGGAAACCTGAAAATCAAAATCATGCTATTATATTTACACGTGGAAATGCAATACAGACCATTGATATGAATCATGTGACTAATAATTTTTATATTGATATTGACCTTAATGTTATTTACAGGGCAAATTGATAGTATATATTTTTTTAATTATTTCTCTTTGTATGTGGACAAGATAGTTACTTTGAGGAGGCTTTGAAGGACAGAAATCTTCTTGAAGAATTTTACTGTGACCATGGAGTTCGCCCCCCTACTATTGTAACGCCCTGAAATGTAACGCCCTGAAACCCGGCTTAGTATTTTAATTAATTTATAAAATTAATTAATTATTGAGCCGGTGAATACGAAGATTATTTCCTAATTTGCCCTAATAACATGAGGGTTTATCCTACGCTGTAGAGCTCGCTGTTCTGAACCCGACCGCGCAAGCAGACCATGAAATGAACTTATTAGGCCTAAGATATGACTGATGAATTAAGTAATTGGACTTAAATTTATTCTAACTGGTTGGAAAGTGTAATTGGACCTTAAAATCTAATTAATTACTCCGTATATATATAATGCGTTAGGGGGTTACTTTGACCGGAGGAACCTTTCCTTTCCTGATTTCACCCGTTTCTTCTCCTCAACCTATTCGATTTCCGCTTGGTGTGCCGCTGTCCAGAGACGCCGACCGCAGACGCTGATCGGAGTCGCCGTCTAGAGACGCCGCTGGGTTGCCGCCGACGTCCCCCTCTTCTTCCTCGGTCGCGCGCAGCAGGCCGGTGATACGAGGGAGGAGTTGCGGCGGCGAGTCTTTCCCAATCCAAGGTTGAATTCGTCAAATTTCGAGGTGATTTGTGGTTTCTATACCTTCCGTTAGCATTAATTCAAAGATTAGAACTTCCTTAGCGTATAATCTTGCGATTTGATTGGGAATTTGTGATTGTTGTGTTGGAATTATGGAATTTGTGTTTTGGGGCTGTTTACCGTCATCACCTCCGGCGACCGCCGGCAACGGCGGCGGCGAGGTGGCCGGAACTAGGCAGCCTCTTGATTTGGACCAATTGGATCTAATTGGCATCAATTGGGTCCAATTGGGTGCAATTGGGTCCTAACGGGTTCAATTGGGTTATTTGGATTTAATTGGGTACAATTGGGTTGGAATGAACTGTTTGGGGCTGTTTGGGTGGCCAGGGAATACCAAACGGGGCTGTTTGGTCTGGCTTTGGATTTGGGCAGCCGGGGCGGCTACCGGTGGGGTGCCGGGGTTGTTCCGGCGACTATGGGGACTGCTCCGGCGGGGGCNGGGTCTGAGGATCGATTCTTTGGGCTCGATTCCGCGCAGGTAAGTTGGGCTGATTGTAATTTGGGTTTGTTTGATTATGCATGACGGTAATCGTGGGTATTCGGCCCGGATAGGCCGCTACGTGATTTGTTGTGAATTGTGAACTGAGATTTAATTTAAATTGATCTTATTGGTGAAAATTGTGGATTTTGAATAATATATGGGAAATAGGCCACCTAGTATAATTAGGCGGACTTGAATTAGATTGACTGTTTGAATCACCAATAGGATATGGTTAGGAAATTGGCCATTGCGGGGCGTCGTCGCACCCCCGATGGTCATGGGTTAAAAACGTACGTACGGAAGTCCGCGACCTGTCCTGGCATCGCAGGGACAGGGGCTTCAACCCGCCCAAAGTGAATCTCCTTTGGGTTTCTGAGCTGGCCCTTTTATAGCATCGCTTGGGGTGCCATGACTCAAAGTAGTTGATGTGGAATAAAGTAAGGACATGATGTTCAAATGGAAGGTGTTAATATAAATATGTTTATTTAAGCTATTTTTCTCCGTGATCACATGCTGTTGTTGATTGTGTGTTAATGTGGTGCTATTCTGTGAGTTAATGCGGGCTTAGGTATATTTTCACTCAGCGTTTCGCTGAGCGTGTAGTCGTTGTTGTTTGACTGCACGCAGGTAGGAACACAGATTCAGATGGGCAACCCGGAGGGCAGTGAAGTGTTGGTGTGGCGTGGATGGCTCTTGTTACTTTAATAAGTAAACTACGGAGTACATTATTTTATTTGATTATATGAACTGTTGGACGTTACCTTGATTTTCTTATGCTTTCGCGACGTTTGGATTTATTTAATTATTCTGATGAATTTGGGTCTAGTTAAAACTCTACGGACGAATTTTATAATTGATTTAATTGTTAGTTTAGAAAAGAAAAGTTATGCATGCGAATATCAACTTAGTGACAACCCGGTTCGCTAACCCGTTGGTTCGGGTTACGCGTGTTGGGGTGTTACATTTTGGTATCAGAGAATGTGGTTTTAAAAACGATTCTTTGCCAAAATAATTAAACTTATAAAAACTCTTCTTATTTATTTTTTTTAAAAAAAGGTTTCAATTTCAAAAAAAACTATTTTGTTTAAAAATGAAAAAAAATGATGATTTACCAATTTTTTTAAACAAAGTGATGTTACGAATTTAGAAAAAAAAACTATTATTGTATATACATGTGTCGAGCATCCACAGCTTCACTGCATCGCTGCTCCGGGAGGTAACTCTGAATCCTTACTGTTGCTTATGTGATAATTAATTGTTGTCTTTAATATGTAGTTATTGGTTTGTTTATTAAGTTATATAAAGAAATACTAATGTGTAGTGAATTTGGAGGGTGAATCTTAAATTAGGGTTGTATTTGGTGGGAAGAAAAAAAAGTGAATTTTGATATCTCGCATATTAAAGTCCTAATTTTGGTGTTGGTGAACTTAAAAGGAATTTAATTTTGAAAGTTAGAGATATGGGAAATTTTCAATCTTAATTCACCGCTTTCGAAAATGAGAAAGACGTTATCAAAATCGAAGGAGATGAAGATGGGAAAACTCTGTCTCAACACATCAAAAACCTCTTATCTTCACACCCAACCATATGTCTCCTTCCCATAGGACAACAGGAAATTTGTGTCTCTAGCAGCGGATCTGGATCATCGACAATGACGACCGAGGTATATGTTTTCTATTCATAACCCATGCTCACCGTTTAGTTTCCTATATGTTCCTCTGCAATAAAATTTGGCGAAGTCCTCAGCAGTGGATTGGTCACTGTTTTGCTACTATTCATAATCAATACATATATACATAGTATATGTCTCTCTCACCAAACACCTTCTAATCAGATTTCGGATCTCATATCATCTCCTCTCAAATTTAAAAAAAAAACTCATGTCTCATCACATCTCCAAAACTCACCAAACGAGCCTAAGTCATAATCCACAACTATCCATGACGACTAGTGCGATCATGTTATATTAATAATTGTGAGAAAGAATATATTATATTACATGTTGATAACATGTGTAAGAGTTAAAAAAATATAGTCACAGTTGAAAATCTCAACCACCGGTGTTGGATTTAACATACTAGTAGTTGGTTCGTATAAAGAATGTAAATATGAAAGAAAAAAAAGGTTGTATAAAAAAGAATGTAGATACGAACTTAGCTGCCCGGTGCCAACTTGAGGGAAATGGATAACTCACAATTATCCTTGAAGTTGTTTTTGATTAATTTCAGACCAAATTTGTTGTGCTGAGACTCTCAAAAGATAATTAGCTTTCTCAAAATTGTAGCATCACGCCACCAAAGACTAAGTAATGCTTAATATTGAATTACAAGGTGGCTCAATAGTATGGGATGAATCACACAACGTAAATAATCTAGAAGAGAATAACACGATATGTAACTAATTTGCTAAATTTTATATATTGAAAGAAAAAACATCTCACAGTTGAAGATTTATAACTACCACTATGTCGTAAAGTGTATGTAAAACTGATGTCTAGAATGAAATGTTCCTAACAAATAATTGTTGAACGAAGAAAATGAAAACAAATATTATGGGTTGAACCATTGGGATTAACTCTAAACCAAAGTATTTTGGTGAATACACATTATTTGAAGCAAATGAAAAAAAACTTATAAATTATAAGCTACTTAATGAACTTACGCAGCTAATACGGAGTAATAAATATCATGTTGAGCAGTGGTTCATAGGAAAGAATTTTGAGTTAGACAAGTTTGCGAGTAGTTACCATATAAAAAAAATACCATATATTTAGACTATGTGAGAGATTACTATCTAATAAGTTATTTTTAGAAAAATATATATAATAGATAGTGAAGTAGATCGACGGTAGATTAAATTTGAAGAAAGTAGCTTCTAAAGGTTACTTTTAAGAAGTCAAAAGTTTTGATAATTATGATACTTTTAGTGAGATTAATTTTCTAACAACTTATTAATTAATACAAAAACAAATTGTGTATATGAATCAACTAAACGAGGGTTGCTCAAAACAAAAAAAATATATTGTAAAGGGGTTCCAACTACGCTCTTTTAAATTGGTGATGATAATATTTTAAGTGGTAAGTGACTGTGCAAAAAAAAAACTATATAAAGTAACTTCAAGAATAATTTTAGGTAAGCTCGAAATTAAATTTGTTCAATCCATGCGAGGAAAGGGTATATTGTAGCACTGTTAGGTAAGGTGTGAAATTGGTGGCCTAGTGGCATCGTTAAAAAAACTTTATCTAGTATTCTATTGAATCGCTGAATACTGAAATGACAACCAAATTCAGAAGGGGCTGCAGACTCTGACGAATGAGGGTGTTTCATTTCAGGTACGTTTCCTCTTTACAAAAAGGGGGTTAAGAAATAAAGTTTGTAAAAGGTTATCTTATTCAAGGTAAATTATTACTTTCATAAAAATAATTATTTTAAGATTGGGTATTAATCTTTTAGGTAAACGGCGTAGTGATTAAGTCACTTAAACATTTTCACTAGAGAACTTTTGATAAATGATCATTTTGCACACAAAAAAAAAGAGAAAATACGTGTCGTATTCAAAAAAAAGTGAGACATAATGCCGTGAAGTATACCTTAGGATTTAGTTTTAAACATGTAACAAATTATAATTTTAATTTTTGTTTAAATTAAAATTTAAAAAAAAACAACAAAAATGTCAGTGCTAAAAATAAATTATTTCTCAAAGTTAAATTTGGTGGAAAAATTCATAATTAAGTTGAAAGCCCTGACAAGACGAGTTCAATATTTTAAAGTGAACGAGTAAAATACGAGGGGACGTGGAAATAATGTTAACTCACGAATCCTGGATCGTTGGGTAGGTCTCGCAAAAAGGGGTGACCCGTGACACCTAGTTGGTCGAGTTGGGAATTATGTTTTAAAAGTTGTCATCAAAATAAATGTAACAGTTCAGTAATTTTATAAAAGAACTTTTAATAACAAAATAAGAAATTCCCACCCGTAAATGTAAAATCATCACGGAGTGATACTTTCCAAGTCAAAGGTCCATTTACCAGATTTCCACCAATTTAGTTAGCACTCTTCGTCGTATCATCTTCTCCTCGTTTCTTCGTTAATCAGATTTTCCAGGGAGAAACACTGTAGTATTAAATATTTTACATCAATTAAATTGGGAGTATCTTCGTCATACAACCGGGTATTAATAAGATTTACTATGTCCTGTAAGGAAATTATTGTGTCTTGTTGTAAAGGGAGAGATCTTGGAGTTTACAACACGGTTTTGACTTGTCAGCAAGTCAAGGTTGAGCATTGAGTACCGTCTAAAATGTTACATCCGCCTTCTATCCTCGAGTGAAATGGGTGAATCACGATAGATTTCGCAATTTGCTTACTCTTACAACGCTGTATGGGTCATTGTGGATTGTCTCACAAAATCTGCACACTTTCTACCTGTTCGACGGGGTATGTCGCTTCAGAAGTTAGCTGAATTGTGTCTTCGCGAGATTGTTCGATTGCATGGAGTGCTGGTATCTATTATCTCCGATAGGGGTCCCTGTTTCATTTCAAGGTTTAAGAAGGTACTTCAACAAGCTTGGGGTACGAAGCTAAATGTGAGCACTATCTTCCACCCTCATGGCAGAAGTTGGTCTTGTAGCGTTTCAATTGGAGCTACCCCCTGAACTGAACAAGATTCACAATGTGTTTCACGTCTCTATGTTGCAATGTTACCGATTAGATCCGACCTATTGGTTACCCTAGGGAACAATCACTTTGGACGATAACTTGTCTTATGAGGAGGAGCCTATCCTAGCACGGGAGGTGAAGCAGTTGAGAAATAAGCGGGTGCCTTTGGTCGAGGTCCTGTGGCGCAACTATGCCGTTGAAGAAGCCACGTGGGAGACTGGGGATTCTATGAGAACTCGATATTGTCACCTTTCCGACGACAATGATTCAGGTAATTTCGAGGACGAAATTCTTTTAAGGGGGAGAGAAATGTAACGCCCTGAAACCCGGCTTAGTATTTTAATTAATTTATAAAATTAATTAATTATTGAGCCGGTGAATACGAAGATTATTTCCTAATTTGCCCTAATAACATGAGGGTTTATCCTACGCTGTAGAGCTCGCTGTTCTGAACCCGACCGCGCAAGCAGACCATGAAATGAACTTATTAGGCCTAAGATATGACTGATGAATTAAGTAATTGGACTTAAATTTATTCTAACTGGTTGGAAAGTGTAATTGGACCTTAAAATCTAATTAATTACTCCGTATATATATAATGCGTTAGGGGGTTACTTTGACCGGAGGAACCTTTCCTTTCCTGATTTCACCCGTTTCTTCTCCTAAACCTATTCGATTTCCGCTTGGTGTGCCGCTGTCCAGAGACGCCGACCGCAGACGCTGATCGGAGTCGCCGTCTAGAGACGCCGCTGGGTTGCCGCCGACGTCCCCCTCTTCTTCCTCGGTCGCGCGCAGCAGGCCGGTGATACGAGGGAGGAGTTGCGGCGGCGAGTCTTTCCCAATCCAAGGTTGAATTCGTCAAATTTCGAGGTGATTTGTGGTTTCTATACCTTCCGTTAGCATTAATTCATAGATTAGAACTTCCTTAGCGTATAATCTTGCGATTTGATTGGGAATTTGTGATTGTTGTGTTGGAATTATGGAATTTGTGTTTGGGGGCTGTTTTCCGTCATCACCTCCGGCGACCGCCGGCAACGGCGGCGGCGAGGTGGCCGGAACTAGGCAGCCTCTTGATTTGGACCAATTGGATCTAATTGGCATCAATTGGGTCCAATTGGGTGCAATTGGGTCCTAACGGGTTCAATTGGGTTATTTGGATTTAATTGGGTACAATTGGGTTGGAATGAACTGTTTGGGGCTGTTTGGGTGGCCAGGGAATACCAAACGGGGCTGTTTGGTCTGGCTTTGGATTTGGGCAGCCGGGGCGGCTACCGG